AAGCATATCATTCATGTCCATGCATTCATCTAAATTTCTAACCTGTGACCAGGATGGGAACATATCACACTAAATAGGAAGAAAACATAAAAACATAACCCATATCTCTAGGGTCTGAAGAATGTGGTCAAGCATGGGAAGAAGTGCTTAATGGAAAAAGCAGAAATTCAATTAAAAAATGAAAAATTGAAAACACGGCTCACTTATTTATCGTTATATTGTTTTCTTTTTATTACTTTACTTCACAGTTAGCCCGCAAAATGCCTTTAGATGATTGTACCTTAGCACAGCAATTATTTACAGGGTGGGAGGCAATCAGGGAGGTATGGATGTGACTGAGGACCAGGGAGCAAAGGATTATAGAGACAGAGGGGTGGAGAGCGCCACCTTGAACTTCTGCTAAAATGGACTATATTATAGGTAACCGAGTCACAGAACAAAGCCTCTGTGGGACCCCACCTTTCAACTGAACAGAAGAGTAATTAGTGTGATCCACTCCCATGGCAGGCAGAATTATTTGGAAAAACTGCACTAACACCACCCATATGCCCCGTTCCACCCAGATGGCCAGACAGAGGTGCCAGATGAAAGGGTCTTGAAGCTCTGCCAGAACTTCTTCGGAGGGTTGTTGCTGAAGCCTACTTGTGAGATTTCAGGGCTTTAAAGCACTTGGGCACTCTCCTATCCAGCCACCTAATTTTAAAAATGAGAAAACTGGAACTTTTCAGAGGTCAAAGACTCAGGGATCACATGTAGGAAACAGAATGTGGGTTTTGGATTTTCAATGTAATTTTCTTTCAATCAACAGTGCTCTAGTCAGTTCTCGATTCTTCCAGGATCGAAAAAAACAGGATATTTTTGTTTCCTGTGGTGATTTGAGTGCTTTTCACAATCAGGGAGAAGTGGAGTGCTTCTCCACTCTACAGTCGAAGTGTCTTTGTTACAAGGGTGCAGTCAGGAAGAGCAAAGCCTTCCCTTGGCAAATTGGAAAGCGTCTGTGTGCTGGAAACATTCCCCAGCGTTCATTTGTGCGTGTGTTCCTAAGTCTTATTCCAGAAATAGAAAAACATGCGGACAATGGGCTGCTTCCTGATCTATAGGGTAATAGGTATTTGAGGATGAAGACATCCCGAGTGCTCACGACACAGATACCTTTCCCCATAGTTTCTCATATGCGCAGTAACAGTGCTGGTATCCTGTCACTGTCTTGAGAACCCCAGGTCAGTCTCTGTAAGGGACACACATCTGAGCCTTCCAATTTAGCGAAGTCCTGCTGGACATAGGGAGACCTGTCATCACAGACTGAAGGGGTACGGATAACAGTTTTGTCATATCAGAATTTTAAAACATGGGATCTGAAGACAAACTGGCAAACTGTATGCAAGCTGGTACCCTGAACAGTGGGAAGCCTTGCTGAAGGAGGGAAGCAAGACTCAAGTCTTGCAGGCAGCATGATCCCGCAACTGATCCTTCTGGTCCCAGTGGGGGAATAGACCTTGGTAAAAAGCCAGCACCTCTGCCCAGAACCCTCTTCTTTACAGGATACTAACACATCCATGGGGAAACTGGGAATAGGTTGCATTTTCTATATCTGTATATAGTCACTTGCATGGCTAACTAAGTGCAAATTTGTTTTGTTCAAACTGAACCAGGTGTACCTGTCTCTAAGTAGAAAAAAACCAAAATACCTAATCTCTCTCTCTCTCTCTCTCTCTCTCTCTCTCTCTCTCTCTCTCTCACACACACACACACACACACACACACACACACACACACGGGTGGGGAAAGAGGGAGAGAGAGAGAGAGAGAGTCACCTACTCCTAGTTAGATATCTAAACTCAGTTAAAAGCTGGGTCTAATATAACAACCATATAATCTCAGCACTTGGGAAGCAAAGGCAGGGGAATTTCAAAGCCAGTCTGGGCAACACAATGAGACTCTTTCAAAACACTGATAGAAAAAAAAAAAACCAACAAAATAAGAAAAAACTAAAAGTAATTAAAATGCTATCATATATCTAGTTAGAACTCCCCTATTTATGACATGAAGAAATCTTAATTCCCGGTCACATATAACCACAGAATTTGGTTATTTCTGCCCTGGGGAGGGAGCAGGTATTAGAGCGTACCCTCCTGGGATGCTAACTGAGCCATTTCCACATTCTGACCCAGTTCTTTTTCCCCAGGCTGTGTGGCTCTAATACATCTTTGGCACAGAGAGCCTTTCCTCGATTTCTTCCCTCCCTCACGGACCACCTACGGACATAGCCTACCGCCAGAGACACCCAGATGTAAACACAGGTGTTCAGCACATCTGCACTATCGCACTGGATGGCAGTAATAGCCATATGGCTGGGGTAAGAGTAACACCATGCCTCTTCTTTAGAGCCAAGTTTATTTACAGTTTTCAAAAAAAGAAATATGCAAATTTCAAGTAAACAAAAAGCCCACAAGGCTCCATTTCACTGTAAAATTGATCAGAAACATATGACCATGTTGAGGACTTCCCATCCAGAGATCTAAAGCCAGTGAGAGATGAAGATGGCTAAGTCCATACCAAGGCATTTGCTAGGCGCACACAATAGTTAAAGTAAGGTGAAAAGAATATGAGTCAAAGGGATTCCTAAACCAAGAACCATAGCTAAGGAATTGCTATAACAGCTCAGTATTGTGACAACCTTGCAAGATTTCAAGTCCTCTCTGTAGCTTTAAACATGAATTATCTCAAAGCTGGTGGTATTTGTTGAAGCATGTCAGCCATCACTATACTGTCAGGATTTATTTATCAAATATTGCACCCCCTTTTTTGCATGGCCATTTAGTATATTTTGAAGCAGACGACTGGAAACAGGTCCCCCCCACGGCTCTGGTGTTACCATAACAAACACTTGAACTTCAGCTTTTCATCCAACAGGTATTTATCTAGAGTGAAGCACACACAATCCCTTCCCTTGAGATGGTCAGGGCTGGGACAAAAAAGTAAACAAAGAGACAGTGCTCTGTTGACAGGCTGTGGGCTACTGGTCTCTGGATGGCCAGCCTGGAGGACTGAATAACTGTAATAGTGGGTCTCTATAGTATATACAATGACAACCGGACTACTCCAGCAAGAACCTTGGAGTCTGTGAGTTAAACGACTGACTAATTGTTAGTTTCTGCAAAAAAAGAGCGTTAAGAGATGGCACATTACTAAGCTGCATTGAGGGCTAGGTTGCATGCTAACTATGGCCCCTTTCAAACTGACAAGCCTTGCAGTACTGAGTACTTAAGGTGTTGATGTAAGGCAAAACAGATACATAAATTATCCAAGGAGCAGAGCAGAGTCTTCCAGTGTTTCCAAAGATTGTTTGGGAGAGACTACGGAGGACTGCGTCAAAGTCCTCCTTTTTAGTTCTAATGAAATCTGAAACAGTGTTGAAAACATAAACCCATACAATGATTTGTAATTGCCCCAGCAGCTACTATTGCAATTTTAGGTTTAACGATTTTATTTTCTGGCAACCTCTGCACTACTGTTTGCTAGTTGGCTTAGAGTTTGGACCAGAAACTTGAGGGAGAAAAAAGAAAGAAAGAAAGAGAGAGAGAGAAAGAGAGAAATGTACTAGTGTTCTTTATAATAACAAAGGAGTCCCTTTCCTCTTCTGAGTGTTTCTGTTTCAGTAGGACGGCATATTTATTATTATTTTTTGATCCAGGAAAAATCTGTGAGTTCTCAAGGCCGAACATTCTGGCTTTGATGGCAGGACAGCCTAACCTGAGAAATGGTGTGTCCCTGAGATCCAAAGGGTTTGGTTTCACTGTGGAAAGATGCATGACTGCCAGACATTTCTTACAGTATTTCCTTAGGCCCTCTGCTGCCAAGTCTCTCTTTCACGTTTAAAGAGTGTACCCTTGCTATTCAAGATGGATGGTTCTGGAAACACTTAGTTATATCTTCTCACAAAAAGGAGAGAAAAATGAAGCCACACTATATCTTTATTTTTAAAAAATATTTATTATGATCATATGTGCATTGGTGTTTTGCCTGCAGGTATGTCCATGTAAGGGAGCCAGAAACCCTAGAATGGAGTTACAGACACTTGTGAGCTGCCATGTGGTGCTGGGAATTGAACTTGAGTCGTTTGGAAGAGCAACCAGTGCTCTTAACCTCTAAGCCAGCTCTTCAGCCCCTATACTACATCTCTTAATTCATAGTTACCTTACAACATCCCCCTCCATGAATATACTGAATAAGTGCATAATTAAACACAGAAGGGTATTTGAGAAGTAATGGCTTAGGCTGTTGTTGGTCTTATAAAATGATGCTCTTGACCAACACCCTGCAGCTAGTTTTCTCCCCAGCCACAGCAACACAACCCCAAGCAGACCCCTGTTCTCTGCCTCTCACATCGTCCTCATGTACAGACCACTATCCTGCGTTGCCTGGGCTGCCACAGAAGAAGGAAGACACAGGGGAATGCTTGCATTCTGCTGACCATCTCCAGAGCTACACAGTCCAGCCCACAGGCAGGCAAATTCAAAGTTTAGGACTTCTAGGCTGTCAATTGGAGTCATATCTACATTTTGCCTGTCTTGAGAGTTTACAAGTCAATTTGCCTCTTAGGCCCTTGGAACCCCAAAGCTCTGACATCTGGGGTCCCTTAATATGGCAGGCACTCCTAGCTTGATAGAGTCCTTTGACTGAGGTCTGACTCCTACCTGGTGCTGACTTCATATCTGCTGAGGACCCTCCACCACCATCTACAGTGAGCCTAACCCACTGCACCCTCTTAACCCCGCTCCCCTTTCCTTTCATCCCAGGCTTCCACTTTCTCTCTTCTCCTTCCCGATTCCCTCTTTCCTTTGCTCCTTTCCCCACCAACTCATCTTCTCCTTCCCATTTGTCTACCTTCCTCCCCTTTCCCCTTTTTTTACCTTCTCGCCCCTCCCACTCCCCCCCCCCCGCAGGAAAGGCGGTCCATCCAGGGCTCGGCGCTCGGCTAGGCGGCGGATCGACGCGCTCGGCGCTCGCAGCGTGCGGAAGTGCGGCCCTCCGGCTGCTGCGGCCCGGAGGTGGGGCGGGTCGGCGGGCATCTGTCGCCGGCTGCGGGCAGTGGAGGCTGGAGGTGAGTGTGGCGTCCCGACCGAGAATACTCCGGGTCCGGCGGGGAGCCGCGCGGCACGGGATCGTCGGGTCTGGGCGAGCTGGAAAAGCGCAGTGAGGAGCTCGGGGCGCGGGGCTGCGTGTGGGAGCCGCCGAGGAAGCCTTTCTGCTTGCCGCGTCCGCCTCCGCGCAGGCCGCCGGGCTGGATCCTGGGAGGAGCGGCCAGTGTGGACGGCTGGGCTTTTAATCTGCTGAAGACCTCTGTACTGCACTGACGCGGGTGGGAAGTTTCCGTGGTATCTTTACGACTCCGTGAGTCGACTTAGTGAAAGCAGCAAGTGCGTGTTTCTAAGTCAGCCACACCTCTATTAGGCCATTTGGTGCTCTATACTAAAAAGCTAATGCCACCTGGGATCCCTCTACTAATGCATACATAGTAAGACTTTGTTTATAAAGCTTAGCGCGTGATGACCCCTCGTTGGTATCAGATTCAGTGGCAAGAAATTGAAAGTCAAAACAAGGATGACCTAAGTGTGAAAAATTAGGGATTTGCAAGGTCTAGGTAAAGACGCGAATGCATGCTCGCTGCTGCTTACATGTTCTCTTTTGTTTGACTCAGTAGACAGTATTTTTAAGTTGGGAGACAGAACGTTCCCCCATCTGTTGGAGACAATTTTTGGAGTCGTTAGGAAGAGCCCCCCTTTTATTGTCAATTATTTAATTTTCTGTACCAGACATTTTGAATTACCTTTCAAAGGGTGATAAATAAACCTCGTAGATTAAGTTCCAAACATTTTGTAAATGCAGTGTTATAATTTGGAACTTCATCTTTTGCCACTTAAAACTTCTGAAAGGACTCCCATGATCTTACCTATGTAAGTATACAAAATACGTAGACAATGTAAGCATTCACCATACGTCACAAATCATTTTATCTTAAAACAATTTTTTGAATAATGTAATTTTACCGTTTATTAAAGATGAAAATATAGTGCTGGATGTATTCATTTCTTTTTACATAAAGAATTGTTTTAGCCAGTGTGGTGGTGCATGCCTCTAATCCTAGCTCTCGAGATGCTGAGGCAGGTGGCTCTCTCTCAGTTTGAGGCCAGCCGGGTCTACAAAATGAGATCCAAGACAACTAGGGCTGTTACACAGAGAAACCCTCTCTCAACCAAAAACAAACGAATAAAAGATTAAGTCTTGGTTAAATATTTGATACTACAGGACATCGAGCGTCTTCAGTGTTTTTCAGAATTGATTGATATTTTAATTTTATAATTGTCAATCTCAAGAACATTACTCTATATAAATATGTATATAGACAAAATGACAGGAGTCTAGTTAGGAACATTTTGGAAATTGTTAGAAGTTTGTCCTGACTCCCAAGCAAAAGTCATTGGTGATCTTTTAGAACGTTCAAATCAGCAGCTCAAACAGCAGTTCTTCTGATGAAATTTCTCACACAGCTCGAGTCAGAGACCCAGTCTTTTGATGATTACATGTTGAGGAATGCGAGTAGAAAGTATCTAGTCTTTGCTTTCTGTAATCAAAGTGTTTTCTTTCTTTAGGAGGAGAACACTCTGTATATATAGCAAGTTAGGATTTTCACTGCTGTAACCAAGGACCTGGCAGAAGATACTTAAGGGAGGAAGGGCTTTCTCTGGCTTCCAGTTTGGAGTTACCCGGCCCATGCCAGAGAGGAAAGCATGGCAGCAGGCAGCTCCATGGTGGCAGGACAGTGCCCTGGACTCCTCACCTCTTGGTGGAAAAGGAGGCAGATAGAAGTCAGGATGTGGAGCTGGACTAAGACCTCAAGCCCCTGACCCCAGTGACTCTTTCCCAACAGGGCTTTTTATCCTAAAGTGTTCAGAATTACCTAGAACACGGTTGGGAGGTGGGGAGGAAGTGTTCAAACATTTGAGCCCATAGGGGATGTTTCATATTCAAATAGTAACATACAGTGAAATCCCAGCAATTCTTGACATACAGTAAATTCGCTCTGAATTGAAGTGTTTCAGTTGAACATTCCTGGGTGTTTATTATACACAGGCACAGAGAGAAGGTCAGAACAAAAACTGGTGAAGTTGGATTGGGTTCTGCTAGTAGCAACACCTTGTATTCACAGTGGGTTTGATTTTTGAATTTATTTTTGATCCTGTGTCTTCAGAAGACTTCCATTTTGCCTTATTTTATTTATTTATTTATTTATTTTTTTGCTGCCTCCACATTCAGTTATCTGACCCTATGTGACTTACAGGATTGCCGTCCATAGTTTAAGAATCTGCATTCTGGTAAAAGACTTTGTATTGAATACGCTAAGTGTGTAGCAACAGTGGAACATGCTCGTCATAGACTTGTCTCTCACTTACTCTAGCACATATTCATATTTTCTACTTTCCTGGTTTATTTCTTTTGAGTGGGTTTCGCTGTGTGCTCAAGCTGGTCTTGAACACCTTGGCGCAAACGATCCTTCTAGCTCAGTTTCCTCAGTGAAGGACACACCACCAAGCCTGGCTTTTCTTTACTCACCTCTGTTGGGCCCAGGTTCCTAGTGGTGCCTGCTGCATGGTGTGCACAGCGTGTTTATAAATGTTTATTCAGTGGAAGGGTTTTAGGCTTATGTTGATAGTAGGCGATTTTGAGATTGATTGGAGTGGGAAGTAACATTGATTAGCTTACTAAGCAGTATATGGAAGTGTTGAGTGATCTTAAACTCTGGGGAGTGTGTATGTGGACCCCCCTGGACTGCCTGCAAAGCTCAGATGGTCCAGGCTGTTCGCTCTAATCAAACACTTTAAAGTATATTTATGTTGATTAGGGGAATGATTGCCTATTGGTATAAACATACAAACTTGATATAATTGTAGAGACATTGTGAATTTTTGAAGTTGTGAATATACACGTTGGCCTTTACGGTTTCAGTTTGGAAATTAGAGTCCAAGTTATTTCAGTATAGGAGTAAAGGCAACCATTTATGGCTCCACACACTACCACCAGCAAGCTGCATAACCTCAGCTGCCTGACTCAGCAGCTTTGGGCCTTAGTTTCCCTTTTTTGTGTATTTGGAGACTGTAGAAAACTTGGTTATCTCAGCCGTGTGTGATGGTTGTATCCCTGTATGGTCAGTACTGGGGAGGCTAATGCAGGATGCTGAGTAAGAGATCAGCCTGGGCTACAGACGTTACCCTGTCTCAAGGCAAAAATAAGCAAAATAGGCAAACAAGAACAGCAAGAGACATCACCAACTGGAATAGCTCAATCTTTGAATCTTGATAGTCCCTGCTCCCGTGAATCATGTTCCCACATTGTCACTCAGCACTTGTCTTACTCCTAGATCAGGGTCGGGGATTAAGGAAGCCCAACTGACACAGGCAGTAAGTAGTTCTGGTCATCCCTGTCTCCCCCAATTCTAGCATATGACCCAGGCATTCAAAATGGCATCAGCCTGGATTAAGAAGGGCCACTTTTGTCCTCTCAAAAAATAGCTTGAACCACACCATTGTCATTGATGTTCAGAGAAGAAAGAATCTGGTGGGACATAGTGAGAGGGGACCGTCTGAGGAGTAAAAAAGCCGAGGAAGGCCTGTGAGTGTGGGTGTAACTTGGACTGCCTCTCAGTGGCCAGTGAGCAGGCATGGGCCTCCCTCCTTGTCCCCCCTCCATACCTCCCTCTTTGTCCTCCCACTATGCCTCCCTCCCTGCCTTCCCCCTCCCACCTCCCTTCTAGCTTGCCTCTCTTCTTCCCTTCCTCCCTTCCTTTTTTGAGGTCTTACTGTGTAGCTCCTTAGCCTTGATTGGCCTGGACTGAGCAGGCTGGCCTCAAACTCATAGACCCACCTGCCTCTGCCTCCCAAGTATTAGGATCCAATGAATTTATAAAGGTCACTTTCAGTTTTAATGTGACTTTGGGAGTAATATAATTGCATTCATTATGTTACAATTTTACCGAGCGAGAAAGCAAGACAAATAGCCCGAGTTATTTGGCTGTGGTCTTATAATGGGAGCTCCATGTGAGTGACATGATGTATGTGTATATAAGTCAGGGGCTTTGCAGGAGTCAACATTCATGCCAGATGGTTCAAATGCGACTAAGTGACTCTTTGGAGAGGTATGGCTATTTAAAAGATGGAGAGGCTCAAAGAGCAGCAAATAGCTGGAAGGTACCGAGGGAGGAAGTAGAGGCTATTCAGGGCTGGAGGCAGGGAGGAGTACTTTTTAATGAGGCTATTAAGGAATCTTCTAGATTACCGCCCACTTTCTGATCTATACAAAGTCTGTTTGAGCATTTTTCATGCTTTTCAAACTGCTCATCCATTCATATCTACTCTTTATAGGTGATCTTGCCGCCTGCTCCAGAAAAATAGAACGGTCAGAGTAGACTTCTGTGGTCCTTGTACTAAGACGGTTTCTTCTCCAGGTATAGACAGAGACACATCTCTGTGCCTGGCTCAGGAGCTGCTCTGCTGTCATTCTGGTCTTGCTAACACAACAGCTCTCTGCCCTTGACCTTTGTGTATGCTTAGTAGTTGCAACAAGAAGGGCACCTGCAGAAGAAATAGTCCCTCCCTTGTTCTCAGAATCTTGTTGTTCATTTGTTTTTGTACTTCTTCCCTTCACATCCCTTCCCTTTAAAAATAATTGCTGATATCCCCTTTTCTGTTCACCTGTCCCACTGCCTTGACCCTTCTGAAGGCCATGGTCCTTCTTGGCCTCCTGATTTTCTAATATTCCTTTTGTCCACTGTAGTGCGCAGGGATACAATAAGCCCTTTATGAATGTTTTGTCTGAACAATGCTTTTCATGGCCCTAGTTTATCTTTAGCCCCTCCCTGTCCCTGGGATATGGGGATCCAACCTGTGGAGGTTCCACGTGATCTTTTTCTTTAGAACCCAGATTGTCTCAGTGGCATAATTGGTGGCTGTATTTGCTAATGACTTCTTCTGTCTTGTGTAGGTAATTTGTCCTTTAGGGGTGACACTTGAACTTTTTTTTTTTCCCTGAAAAATACAATTTCTGACA